TTTTAAAAAAAGTAAATCATAAGCAAATTTATAGCAATTTTCCAGGCAAATTTGCCTGGAATTGCCTACAGTTTAAGAGATAAGATATGAATTTCACTGTTTCATCTTAAAATTTCCAAAATTATTTTTATAATTTTCTCTAACGTATTTTTTTACTTCTAAATTTATTTGTTCTTCTTTAGAATAAATCGATTTTCTGAATAATAGCTTTGCCACTGTTTTAATAGTGTTATTTAATAAGGAAGCTGACAATTATCAGGTGATTTTTTAGAGGGGGTCAAAAAATTTGAAATTTTATATATAAGACCTGATAATTTATATATTAAAAACTAGGAGGGAGTAGGCCTTTGATAAAAAAAAATTAGGTAATAAATAACACTGCCCTAAATTAACTTTAAATTATTTATAATTATAATAAAAAAATAAAAATAAATTTAAAAATTACTTCTATAATAGTTTTATCATTAGTTAAATCAAAGCTATCTTCTATTTTATCTTCCAATTCTTTTAACCTATTCTCGATTCTCCCAACTTTATTATCAAGATCTCTAATAGTGAGGAGAATTTCACCTTGGTTTTCGATTATTTTTACCAAAGTCCTTGCTTACACTTTAATTTAAATTTAAAATAATTAATAAAATATAAAAATAAAAAGAATATTCAATAATTGTAAATACATTTGAGAGTATTCGAATAATTGTAAAAATTATTTGTTCTGCTTCCTTCTATTCCAAAATTTTCAAATTTATTCGAAAAACTTTGAGTAAGTTCAGATCCTCTGGTCGCTTCTAGTGTTGCTAGTAATTTCTCTTTGTTAAACTTTTTGCTTTGGAATTTTTTAGTGCTTTTATTCGCTGAGACTTTTATATCAAAGTTCATTTCTAAATTAAAAAGATAAAATAACTTTAAATAAAGTTAGTAGTATAGTTTGTGTAAATATAAACAAAAAACTTAAAAATTTAAAAGTAAATTTAATAAACTAAAATATAAAAAAGCTTATGAATAATTGCTAATTTTAACTTTTGCAAATACTTTATCAAATAACCCAAATATAAATTTGTTAATAAATTGATCAAATTTCTCAAAATTTAAAGCTTTGTAATAATCTACTTTTGTAAGTAAATTTTGCAAAATTTTGGTTTTTGCTTTATTAATTTCTTTTAATTCTTTATTTTCTTGCTTTAATTCTTTGATTTTAGTTTTAAATTTTTCAAGTTTTGTTTTATTTTCATCAACTTTTGAACTTAGTTTATTATTTATTTTAATTAATTCTTCTTTATTACTAATTAATGCAATATTTCTTTGCAAAATCTCTTGCTTATCTTCAAGCAACTTTTTATTTCATTGCTTTAGTAACTCTTCATCTATTAATTAGGATTTATTTATTTTTTATTAAATTATTTTTTTTTAAACCAAGATATTTGCTATATATATATTATATTCAAATTATTAACTATAAAATTGCTACTATATTTATTTTGCCAAAAGGCAGCTTGGGAGAATAATTGTATGGAATCTGAGGTCCTAATTACATGTAAATAAATTTGATTTTAATATTAATAAAAAAATAATAAAAAACTATTTTAAATAATATTATCTTTATAAATATTTAATTTTACTTTGTAAGATAGCACAAAAACAAATAGTATTTAATTGGTTTACAGCTTTTGCTATAAGCTAATTTATAAGCATTTGGCATTTGTGGTATTATAGTCAAAGTTACTGCTAAACTGCTTCTGCTTGTAGAAGAGCTTAGTGACAAAAGACCAGACAACAAAGATATAATAAATATCAGATGGATAGTGTTTTTTGTAACAGTTAATACAACAATTTGGAACTAGCCTAAAGTATAGCCGAATTAGCAATTTGGGTATCTTAAATCAATGTATAACCAGAACAAAAAACTTTATAAATAACTTTTGTTTTCTATATTTGTCACAATGATTTGCAATGAGACTAAGAACTAAGTTTCAACAATATTGAGAGTATTATAAATCAATACAATAATAGCAACTATTAATCTTACCTTTAATTAACATCAGGAAACCAAATAAGGTGCAGATCTGCACAGATCTGTGATCTTAGAAATTTTAATCTAAATTTATGATAATTTACGATAACTCGTGAACTAGTAATTAAAATTTAACAATTTAGATACCATTCGATTCGTCTCAGTGAGACAGATCAAATAGTACCAAAATCGTTGATTTTCAACCACTGGATCATGAAATAATTACATTTAAACAAAGTGTAAAAGTATCAAATGATCTCACTAACCAGTGGTCCAAAATTGATGATTTTGGTACTATTCGAACTGTCTCGTCGAAAGGAATCGAATGGTACTAAAATTAAAATTAGATCACTAGTTGGCGAAATATTTACAAAAAATATTTTGTAGCGCAGTTCTGTGCAGATTTTTAAAACAATTATTATAAAATGCACCTATGTATAATTTCTTTTAATAAAATTTAGAGTTAGGGTTAGAAAATTAAGAATTTTTTTTTTTATATAATATATTATAGAGCTAATATAAGAGCCCAATAGGGACTGATTTTAGTTTTCGTAAAGTTTTTGGAAGTCCTGAACATTTTTACTTAGAGGACCTGATTTCATTTACTTAGTACGTTTTTGAGAAATAGGACCTATGGTGTAAAAACACCATAGATGCGTTTTAGTAAAAGTGTTTTAAAAAATAAATTTAAAAATCTGTGCAGAACTGTGCTGCAAAGCGTTTTTTGTAAATATCTCGCCAACTAGTAATCCAATTTTAACGATTTTGGTACCATTCAATTCCTCTCGACAAGATGGTTCGAATGATACCAAAATCATCAATTTTGGACCACTGGTTAGTGAGATCGTTTGATGCTTTTACACTTTGTTTAAATGTAATTATCTCGTAATCCAGTAGTTAAAAATCAACTATTTTGGTACCATTCAATCTGTCTTACCAAGACGAATTGAATAGTATCTAAATCGTTAAATTCCAATTACTGGTTCACGAATTATTGTAAATTATTATAAATTTAGATTAAAATTTCCAAAGTCACAGATTTGCGCAGATCTGCACCTTATTTGGTTTCCTGATGAAATTATTATTACTCTTATAGAAAATTGCAGGAATAGTAAGTAAATATAAATATTTAACTTTAAATTTAAATTTAATAAAAGGTGTGGCGACTTAGTGTAGTGATCTAGTCGTCACTCTCTTCAAGCGGCAGGTCTAGAGTTTGAATCCCACTGGCGACAATTTTGAAAAATAGGCCTGTGTACGGTTGACGGCGTTCTATCGGTTGGATCTAGATTAATCTATAACCTTGGTCACACCATCTAGTTATGGGAGCTCCAGTGCAATAAATCTAGGGAATCGGAATAACCAAAAACCTGTTTGGCAAGTCCCGAGTTTGAAGATAGCAGTGATCTTCAACGGTACCACAGGAGAGCTGAATTCGAACCGGGGCCCGAGATCAGAGAACCGAACAACCAGGTCCTAATGGTGGAGGACATACTAGCCGAACCGCCAGGTTGTCACACCAGAGGAAAAGGACATACGCTCTGAAAGTATGGACCAAGGAGAGGGTGTCCTTCAGGTACCTAAAGCCTGGGCAGACTAACTCTTCCGGGTTCCGGCTGGAAGTAAGAAAGAGACTGATAAAGAATCTGGGTAAGAAGATGGTCTAAATGCGAGGTACTGGGTTGCTAGAAACCAAAACAAGGGCAAGGAATATGTAATGGACATCTAGTTAGGAAGGTTGGTGCTTGAAAAATGTCTGTAGAATGGTAGCACCCCAAAAGGTAGCGTAAGATATGAATACGGAACGGCAGGTCAATATGTACTAATTAGAAAGAAGTTATAGAAACAAGCATGTGAATATATGTGTGGAACATGTACCACTATGTTAGGTTTACCTCGAGGATAGACTAGGTTTATATGGGTTAGTAAGTTCTAAGGCAGAGAGCGAAATCTAATATGGGTGATATCCGAAATCCAGTGTATAAATAGTGAGGTAAACCCATTAGGTTAGGGAACAGATGAAAGTAGTTAAAACCAGATAGTTTAAATGGGTACCCCCTAGTTGGAGTGCAGGTATAGCAGATAGTGTAAAACCTTCGGGCAGACTACTTAAATTAGACACTCAAAAGGTACACATGTGGCTTGATGTACTATTATTGTAATTACAATATAAAACTCTGTCTATACTCTAATAAAAAGTTTTCCAGGCCAATATAGATCACCTTAATACCAAAAAAAAAAAAAAAAAAAAATTTAAATTTAATAAAGTTAAATTTTTTGCACAAGTTTTTACAACATATAACTCAGAGTAAAAAATTTAATATATGAAAGGGAGAGATAAAGAGAGTAAGAGAAATAATAATTCAAACAAGTTATTTTTTGTGATGGTTTATAATTAACTTTTGTTTTCTATATTTGTTGTATGTTTGCTACAACGATTTGTAACAAAGTTGAGAACTGAGCCTCAACAGTGTTGAGGATATCGTAAATCAAAGTAAAAACAGCAACTATTTAATTAAATTATACTACCACTACCTCTATAGGAAATTGCGAGAATAGCAAAGCCAAAAAAAAAAAAAAGCATTTGCAAGAGTTTTTAGATATTATTTATTATCATTTCTTAAATTTTATTTTAATTTTTTAATTTTAATTTATTTTATTTAATTTGACAAACCAATTTAATCAGTTTATTATTTAATATTAAGCTTTAGTTTTAACTAATAGTTTAAAAATCTTATCTATTTTTTTATTTTATTTTAAAAAATACATAATAGTTTTTAAATAAAAATCCAATTTCTTTAAAAATATTGCTTATAATATAAAAAACTAAAAAACCAAATAGCTGATATTTTCTTCTAAATTTTCACTTATATTTAAAAAAAAACAATAGCTATTAAAATATGTTTATATAAACAACAAAAAAATAATAAAATAAATTTATTATCATTAAAAACAAAAAAGATGAGTAGCACTATCAAAAATCACAAGTCAAAGCTAGCTAATTTGTATTATCTAATCACTTAAATCCTGGTTACTTAAGGAGAAAATAAAAATAAAGGCCCTTAACTATAACTAGTATAGTTAATCATCTAGAATAAATATAAAAAAAAATAAAAAATATTACTAACTTGAAGAAAAAAGCCTTGTTTGTTTGTTGTTTGTGAAAAAAAAAAGAGTTGTTTTTTTTAAATAGATATTTACAAACTATATTGTTAATTTTAATTATAAAAAAAAGATGATCTAAAATAAACAAACAATCATATGATTAAAGATATAAATAGAATGATAATCAATGTAAATTATTTTTAAATCAAAATATTATTAAAAACTTTACGAGATTTTTTTTTGATAAAGAAAAATGTATAAATTATTTATTAGAAAAAGATGTTTTAAAAAGTAAACAAAGCTGTGATTTTTGTTCTTTAGAAATAACTTGATATATTAATTATTATAAATGTAAAAATCAAGAATGTAACAAAACAGTTTCAATATTTAAAGATACTATATTTTCAAATAGCAAAATAAGATGTTGTAATATTTTATTTATTGGATACTTGTGATTATGTAAATTAAATTATACTTCAATTAGTATGATGACAACTTTTTCTTTAGCTACAATTATAAAGTTTACAAATTTATTTAGAGATTTAGCAATATTTAAATTAGAAATTGATGATTTTATTATTGGTAGAAAAATATTATTTGTGAGATTGATAAATCAAAATTTAAAAATATAAAGATTTCTGGGTAGTAGGTGCAGTAAAAAGAACTAAAGAAAAAAATGTTTTTTTGTTATTATAGAAAATCAAACAGCTGTAACTTTAAGAGGAATTATAAAACAACATATAAGACCAAAATCAATAGTTCATAGTAACTATTGGCATAGTTATAGTTATTTAGAAGAATTAAATATAATTCATCATAGAGTAAATCATTCAAAAGATAGAATTCAGCATAAAACTGGAGTATATAATAACACTATTGAAGGAATCTGGCATGGCTTAAAATTAAATATATTATTAAGAAATCATTTAAAGCATTTATTAAAAAAGCATCTTGATGAATTCTGCTAGCATTGCAAATATAGTGAAAATTTATTTGAAGCTTTTTTAAATTCATTAAAATAATCTTTTTATTAATAAAATACCAAATTTATTTTTACAATTTTTTTTTTTTTTTTTTTTAAATCTTTGACAGTCTTGCCAGTACTCAATTTATTACAACTATATTTAGGTGAGAGCTGAGCTCTCTCGAACAATACATGTATCATTCATAATTACAAACAGGAAGTTATCGCGATAGCGAGCCTGATATTATCTGGCTGCAATAAACGTGCCCATATGTGACTTGTTACACCAACCTGTATACAAGTTAGATAAACTTTGTCAGCTCGTCAAAGCTTTTTCTTTCATATTTCCTTTCTTTACTGAGAGCAAAAGAAAGTGATGATCTTATACAAAACCACCAATACTACCAAGAAAACAAACCGAAAACTTAACTAAAAACAAAAACATAGAACGAAGGAGTATTTTAAAGAAAAGAAAAGAAGGATACAGTGAGATGTAAAAAAAAGAAACACAAAGAGAAAAGCCCGAGGGCTAACAAAGGGGAGAACTACCTCTATAAAGAAATAGCATAAGAGAAACTAGATAAAAAAAAACAAAACAAGAAGAAAAAATGCACTATTATAACCCGTGCCAAGTTTAAGAAAAAATTTTATAACAACTGCAACATTTGTATATCTTGATTACAATATAAGAACTTAATATCTAACTACCGGCTATCTCCAGATGCCTCTTATGCCAGAGACCCAATTCCAGTTACGTAGAG